TTTCATTACCTCAATTTTCTCACTTGACTTTGTTACCTATTATTTCGCCTCTATTATTCGCCTTGACTTTATCACCTATTGTTATTCACGAGGTGTATCACCCTTATTTATTACATACGCAGTTGGCTCTAGGGCATCACCTTAAATGTGTTGGCAAAGGGTTCTGAGTAGCTAAGGCGAGTTTTGCAAAGTAATGATCCTGATCCTGAAGCTTCTGTTGTTTACTGTAGCTGCTATCCCTTCCCTACCACTTCAAAATACACACCATCAGCAGGCGGAAACAAAAATACTTCATGCGAGAGTCTGGTAAAAAGTAGGATAGGGACATAGTACGAGTGAAAAGGATTAAAGAATGTTTAGAATATCACATACAAGCTCTTATAGATTGACACCAGTTCTGCATTTGTTTACAAAATGACAAAATATTTGAATTAAGTTAATGCTTGGACAACTATTACTAAATGTTGGTTATGGTTTCTAATTTTAAATGTTATTTTAAGTCTTTTTTAAAGAGTTTCTGCTATTATGATAACTAGATTTTGACTGCAGTCGAATCATACTTATCTTTTAAGGGTTCATTCAGAAAATATTCTTTAAAACGTATGCTAGGTCTCCGTATGAAACACGAGGCTGGACTTGACAGGTATTTAACATTGTATAGACTTCCAAGGAACACATTATTTTGCTTATTTCTCTGCTTTTATTTTAATATTTTTAATTAAAAAGTGCCAGCTCTCTTTTTATATGTGCCTATATTTTCGTACTCAGACTGCTACAAGACGACGTTATAAACGTTATGGATGATAACCATGGACTCTATGTCTGCTATCAATTATTATCATTCCATTGATTTGGATGCATTTGTTCTTGAAATTAATCAACATTTTACTGGTACAGAAACTGGCGAAATTGCTCACTGAGTACAACCGATCTAATATCATACATAGCAGTTAAGTCAAATTATCTGAAGAATTAAAGCATTAGAAACTAAAACTAACTTAGAAAATAAGCTCAGATAAAGAATATTTCTTTCAAATGATTCAAAATTGCAAAATTGTAGTAGAAAGGCTAAAGTTAAGAATTAATAAAGAAAATCCATGATTAGTTTCCAAAGAATCTATAAAACTGCCTTTCATTTTTTTAAGTTTCCTTCAAGTACGCAAACGATATTACGCCAGATGTAAAAGACAGGTGTATGTAAATAATAACGCATACTAATATTTTTAGGTAGCATTATAAATGGAATGTATTCAGTGACTGCCTTATGTACAACAGAACTGTCAAGATGGACCAATTCTTTATTACTCAGTCAAAACTGAAAATTTTACGATGACTTTGTCTTTCCGTAAGGAAAAGTTCCTCTCAAAGAGTAGAAGAATATTCTTAGACGATTTTGTTCAAGTTCTAAATTTAGTAACAGTGTGTAGTTACTTTTGTTTGCTGTGATTCTAGAGTGTGGAGAACAGCTTTAAGAAAAAAGATTAATTCATATATTCGTCACGGAATTCAAAAAGAATTTTACCAAGAGCTGAGCGTGGTTACAGAATTAATAGCTATGAAGCCTGTCTCGTAAATACGGGGTTTCTCCCGCATGATCTTATTTGATCTTCTTGTTTTACACGACACAAAAGTCGAAGATAATATCAACAGACTTATATTCGATACCAAGGTGTCCCTCAACCTGCTGATCATTTTCCAATTCAAAATAGTATAATTTCAATAATTCTGTTGAAGATAAGTTTTCAGTTGTGTGTTACGGAGGTGGCACTAAAATTTACTAATTGAATTGGACTAATTTATACCATTTTTCATTGAGGCTCTGAACTGGAAAAGAAACTCTTTATAATTCACCATGAATACAACGTTTTCCAAGCCGAATTTATTGTGCATTAGCGAATCAGCTAAGGGAATATCTAATCATTATTTGTTAATTTGGAACTTGTTTGATTTCTTAGACATCTTACTTATTCTAGTCTATATTTCAGAACATTTTACACTGTTTACGTTAGTATTTCCACTTAATTCTGCTCTTGAAAGAAAAAATCATTGCCTGTGGCAAAGAAAACCTCCTTTTATTAACTGCCATGATCTTTTTTCAGGTGAGGAAAATGCTGTCAAATTTTCATCAGATTATTATGTGATTTCATGCCAATATAACTTTACATAGGTTTATTTTTGATGCATGTGAGACTAAAAAAATTATTTGCTTTAATTATATTTAAACATTTTTTATGTAAGGAATTCATTTTTATCATTAGTGCAAGCACTAATTTATATCTTTCTGTGCTGGGATATGTAGTAAAATACCTAGTATCCTACGCAGATATGAGCAGGAACCTATATATTTATAGGCGCAGTCTACCGAAAAACTCAAAAGTTTCTGCATTTCGGCTTATAGAAATTGAACTACAGATGAGACTCATATCCAATATATTTATAAAAGCTTATCTCCCACTTTTCCAAAATAAGCAAGAAAATCGAAACCTAATCGAACCTAACTCACTTACTCTAGCTTAGTAATAACTTGCAGGCATTTCAGAAGCAGAACTTTCGCTTAAAATCTCAGCTATTACGTTATTTTATTTTGTTTTCTAAAGGAAATTTAGTCATAAAATCATTTTCTAACGAATGAAGGGATAAATGAAACTTATTTACCAGGGCTTAGTGGATAAAAATGGCGTACTGCGATTTCCATTCTTCTGGTATGCTAGTCTTGTTCACATTCCCATACAAAAGTAAAAATGACAGAACATTAATTCTATGATTGCATAAAACAGTGAAATTTTCTCACCTGAATATACAGCCAAGATTACATTATACACAGAGTGCTTTTCTTATTTTCAAACAACCGTTGAAGTATGCGAAGTTTGCATCAAGACTGGTGAAAGATGGCAGATCTTTATAAATGTTAACAAGCTGTGCTCTTCCTTTGAAATTTTAAAGAAAAGGTAGACTCGCAATGAATAACTATTTGTTAGAAATAATTCTTAACTGGCCAATTTTTGATACCATATTTTACTGTTTTATTCCTTGCAAAGTGATGTGAAACATGACCAGAAACATGACTTTGCAAGTTTATAAAATGGTAATTGATTTACTCTTGCTGCTGCTGTTCTGAAGATGATCCCCAAATGGACTAATAGTTTCTATTCTTGTTTTCATTGTATTTAGCGTTTTTAGTTATTCCAATCCAATGCATTCTTATTCCAAATTTGTAGAGTAAAACAGAAGCTGTGAGAGGAATAAATTGTACATTTTTGCGTTAGATCATTTGAATCAGCCATCCACTTAACACCTTCCCAAAGGGATTTAAGTAAAAAATTTCATTATCTACTCAAAAAATCTAAAAGAACAGGTAAATGCCAGGTTTTTATTAATGACTGTTGTTGGAATAAGGTTGTTCTTTAAGACAGTAACAAAGTAGAGTACTTCTTCTTGGAGGTGTTTTGTATTATTACAGATTCTTTTAATTCTAAGTTGTGCATTAATTGTATTGACAATGACCCTTTTAGAAATATTAGAATTCCAGTTAGTTAATTTAAGTGTTGGAAAGTTGAAATCTCTGCGATCTAAAAGATTGGTAATCTAGAATATGCAAATCAAGGTAAACTGTATCATTTTGAACAGTATTAGTAGTATTAAGTTTGAGGCAAGAAGGGTAGATATTAGCTTTTTCAATTTTGTTGAAGTTGTTGAAGGCAATTACATCATCCATATAACGAAAGATGTGTTGGTAATATTTTTTATCTTCAATTTTTAGTGAACGTATAAAAGTAAATTCTTGTGTGAAAAGGAATAGTTCACAGATTGCGGTTGAAAAAGTTGCCGCCAATAGGTATTAACTGTATTTGTTTAAAGATGTTGTTATTAAATTGAATATAATTGCTAAAAAGAACGCTTGAAAGAAAAAGTTGCCAATCTTCAGTAGATAATATTGTAGTTATCTTAAGAAATAAATTAGGGAGAGCAAGCTACTATGAATTTCTTCAACTGGTAAAGTAGTATAAAAGTTCTCAAAATCGTAGCATTAGATATGTTCTATTTTAAGTAAATTTAAGGTCTTAAGAATTTGTTCCTTGCTTGAAAATCATCCAGTTGCAATGTTGATCTTTAAAATCAAAATTATTGATAACATCTCGAATGAGATGAAGTTTTTACGCAAAGAGATAATCTATTTCCTTTAAATAACTTGTGGTACTGTTGGCTATGTATCTGAATTTAACAGGAGTCTTATGAAATTTTGGAAGTGCATAGAGATTTGAAAACCTGTTACTAAATTTGTTGGGACGGATTTTAAGTCTTTTATGAAGTGCATTAAATTTATTGAAAAGTATTTTAGTGCTGGTAGAGACTTTTTGATAGGTGCAAGTGCTATATAATTCTTTATGCAGAATGTTTAATTTTTTTTTTTTTTTTTTTTCAAATGACTTTGAAATTGTTACTAGCTTTGTCGATTTTGGTGATGATAAAGCTTTCTTGCAGTTTATTAATATGAGATTCTAGATGCCTTTGATTGTGGATGTGACTGAAACTAGGTAGCCTAAAAAGCTTAAGTTTAAAATCTTTAATAAGAGTTGCTTTCCATTCAAGAAATCTTGTCGTGGGCAAGTTGATGTTATTAGTAGCCAAAATAATGAATCTATCAACATCATTGCTGAACTGTTTTAAGCAATAGTGTTTATTAAGACTGAAAGTTGGTCAAAATTTGGTACCTAGTTGCATGAGTTCTCGCAGTTGCACATCTTCAGTGATATTAAGATCTCCTGTGATAATATATTGGTGAAAAGGATCTACAAATTTATTGTAAACAGGAAGAAGCTGGCAATTTCATAAGCTATCGGCTACTACATTGTGGTGGTTAATTTATGCTATGGTGGTTATTTAGCTAGATTCATATAAACTACAGATTTTATTGCAATATATAATATATAGTATACTTCAGTGTTGTTTAAAATATGCAATACATTCCACTAATTTGTAATATTATAACATCTTTTCAGAAAATCGATGATCTCATAAATTGCACTGTGCCATCAAACATAAGATTTAACAGACTTCTTGATCTCGACCCTCCAAAAGGTAAGCATATACGATTTCTATTAAATTTGACTTCCAGAATGAATCACTTCTCAAATGCTTGTTTACCTCTAACTTAATCTTCCACTTTTACCAAATCTGGCCATGTCACATAGCCATGGAACCACACGTGACTTTTTATCACACAGTGTGCGTCAAGTGGAAATAGGTTGACTGAGTTTCTTTTTGCATGATTGTACAAAAGGCAAAAGGGGGGAAATTTGGAAGTTTTTTCAGCTACTTAATTAGATATATGCTGACAGACTGTCGAATTAAAACGTAAATTTAATGCTTGTGATAACTAAATGAGTTTTAGAATTCTTAATTTAAATGCTAAATTTGAGTCGTATTACAAAGAACTTGCGCCACAGAATCCGGTATTGAACAAATAAAGGCTGACTGCATAAATGCTGTGGATTTGTGTTATAACTGTATAACTTTGGTGCGTGGTTCTATTGCGGGAAGTGATATTAAACTACTGTTTATACTATATATTGAGCTGCAGAGTTGTTGCTTCGAGAAAAAAAAGAAAGTTTTGACCAATTGTGTAAACCTTATATAAGATGGCCAACGGCCAACTATTACATTTCTCACATGAAAATTTCAGAAGTTATTTTTAAGTTTGTGTTAAAAAAAAAAAACAGTTTGTTTTGGAGTCTCGAAAGTTACGTGTTATAAGAAAATATACTTCTGTTAAAAGTAGATAATTTTAATTGCACATTATTTTTCTAATAAAAAAACAGTTATTTGTTTGTCATAATACTGTGCTCAGTAAATACTGCTGATTTTTTGTCGTTGACGAAAAGAGTATGTTACTTTTATTTTACTTTAAATATTTTAACATCATGAAAATAAAGTAAAATTAGCAAGTGCAGTATCAAGAATATAGAAATACGTGTAGAAAATTTCAGGATCAGGAATCAAATAGTTATAAAGATAATGAGCTTTAAAATGTATTGCATTTTTGGAATATTTTGTTATTTGAAATGCATTTGACCTCTTAAAACACTAGAAGCGCCAGAGCAGTCATTTTGACTGCTTTCGTCATTTGACCTCGGTTTCCTTAAAAACCCTTTATCTTAAGAAGTCACAAATTTTGGTATTTTCCTAAAATATGTCGAAAATTATTGGTATCGAATATAAATCGAATGAAATTAAATTAACGGAGATTATTAGTTTATACCTAAAAGCGCCACGAACAGTCTAATGACCTGCTATTAATACTGGGTAGATTTATATGGTATTCTCGCTCAGAAAATATTTTCTTGGAAAACCATCTGGCGTACATATACATTCCTTCATTCACTGATTATTTACAGAAGGATTACATTATTTTACAGAAGAATTACTTATTTTTCGAGAAAAATGTCTCGCAATCGTTTTCGAGATTTATGAAATATCTAAGATTTGACTTGAAGTCAACTAGACTCAGCGTTTAGAAAGTGATAAGTTTGCACTTTTTTTCCGATATTTGGAATAAATTTATACGGAACTGTGCGATTTCCTATAAACCAGGAGAAAATCTAGTTGTTGGATGAGCATTTATACAGTGTATGCCGAATAAACCGGATAAATTCGGTATCAAATTTTGGATATTAGACGATGTAGACTCGAAGTATATGTCAATACTTTTCCATATTTTGGAAAAAATACATCGAGAAGTGAAACTGAAAGTCTTCCTGAAAATGTAGTAATGCGTCTTCTAAGCCATTATCTGAATCAGGTCGAAATTTTGACAAAACGGACAATTATTTTTCCTCACTATCTTAGCTAGAAGACTTAAAATGAAAACACAAGTTTTGTCGGCACACTAAGAAACATCGACAAGAAATCCGCATGAAGTAAGGAAATCAAAACCCCGGCTATTTGAAACAGTTTTTGCTAAAAATGGTGAAACTACGCTCACCGTCTATCAAGGAAAAAGGAATAAAAATGTCCTACTACTAAGTAACTTACATCCAAAAAGTGTAACTATAGGCCACAAAATAAGAAAAGCTTCCAGAAACAGTAGAGTTTTACAACAAAACCAAATGTGGAGTTGATATCCTTGGCCAGATGACGCGTAAATATTCTGTTCGCGCTGCTTCACGTAGATGGCCTGTCCCTGTTTTCGATAATATGTTGGATTTAGCAGGAATGAATGCCTACGTTATCTACTATAAATTGAGTGTAATATTACGAGGCACAGCTTCCTATTTCAAGTAGCAGAGAAGTTAAGAGAGCTTCATTTAAACAGAAGAAAAAGCCCACGATTGCCCCAGGAAACTTCCAACTCTAGCAATACTCTCGAAGAAAAGACGTCAGTACCAGATTGAACTTTGTAACAACAACAAAACAAGTGATATGTGTAAAAAATTTTCATATTATGTGTGTGTGGAAAATGCACTTCCAGTGTTGAAAAAGTTGTATTGTGTAAAAATTGCGAAAAGCTATAAAATGCATTTTATTAACGGTAAGTTGAAATTTATAATAAAATATTTATTTATTAAAATAATCTGTATTCCTTAAGTTTTCAAAACTGTAATTAATATTCTTAAAAGCATTATAAAGCATTACATTGAATATATACATTAATTCGTTGAGCAGTCCAATTTGACTGCGTTGGGCGCTTCTAGTTGGGAGAAAGCTTGGCGCTTCTAGTGTTGAGGCTGAAGATTAAACCAAAGACTGACTGACTGTTTGTATATTGCCAGAATGCAGCACATGCTCGCTTGTCCGGCTCCATAAATTGCCATGAAGGCACTTCGCAGTAGTACAATCTTCAGTTAAGAAAAAAATGTGAAACGCTTCACGATTTTGCGTGTCATCCTTGCGCAGGGGCCACGCTAATCTTCTCTGTATCGTTCCAATTTTAGTATATGTACTGCCGAAGCGAGTACTAAACCAAAGAAATTGGTTTACTTCTTTTATCTCCCTTAAGCTCATCTTGTCTTTTAACGCGTATAATGTGGCGCCATCTGCTGTACATATTAGTAAAATAATTCTTTTACAGCTCAGCATATTTTTATTATATATAACACATAAGAATTAATTAAATACAGTTCAGGATTGTTATAAGGAAATATTTATGGAAACGGTACAGTGTTTTGAAGGAAATTTTATTCGGATATATTAAGGGTTTCTTAAACTTTTTCTTGTGGGGACCCCATAATATTTACGAACTCCATAAGCGCGAATTGCGCAAATGCGACACACGCATGCGTGAAACTGTCAGTTTTTTTCACTTGTAATGTCAAATTACTATTGCGGTTATTTTTCACTATTGCAGTTTTGGGTCATTAACTTTAATTTTTTTAAGGTAAAATGAACGTTTCTATTAAAACAAAGCGCTTTGAAACGTTTTCCTTTTTTCTCTGTCTGTATTATTCGTATTTCCTTGTCTGTAATCTTTATCGATTTTCATATAATTATGTAAAAATACTGGGTTATTGTAAAATTGTTATAGTCAGAACTTAAATTGCGCCGGAGCCCACCGGAGCCCTCGGCACTTTTTATATGTAACTAAACAATTATTTCATTAAAATTTTATCTAGAAAATTTTATTTTTAACAATAATATTATATAAAAAATCGCTTACTAAATTTTAATTTAATCTCTTTATATTTTATTTAATTTTAATATTCAATTGCTTAATATTTAATCACTTTATTAAATATAATAAAGTAATTACGATCAATTAATAATAATTATAAATTGAATAATAATAATAAATAGATTTTTTTATTTAATTAAATAATAATTATCAACTACCTAATTAAATGATTATTCATTATTTGATACCCATAACTATTTAATTTTTTAAATATTAATGATTTTAATAGTCATTTTATTTATTTATTTATTTACTCTTGTTGTTCTTTCCTGACGATCTTCCATAGGGCCCCGGCACTTCTACTTTTAGAATTAAGCCCTGATTAAGTTGTCAAAGAAGTATCAAAATTGCTAAAATTTTGGGCTATCCCCTACTGCAGGTCCCATGACCTCAAAAGGGGACCTCGGGACCCACAGTTTAAGAAACTCTGTGATGTGTTATACATTTGAATGAGCTGAATTAGCTTTTTTTTTTTTTTTTTTTTATTTTTTATTTTATTTATTTTTTTTTTTATTTCTTTGCTACTCCTAAGTTCTGCCACCTGGAGCAGCTACACTTAGATGCGCTGGCCCTTCTGTGCCAAAATGATCACGATTTGCCAGCAACGGACTAAGATATTTATGTACGAAAAGCTTCGGAGGTCCCCTTTGGTATAATTATATCAAGAAAAATGTCTACTTAACGTGTATTTAAATCCATTCTTCTGCGTAACAAATTTGCTGCCTCCCTGTGCTCTCTGGCGCCTGTTCATATAGCGAGCCTTAAATCCAACGCTAGATTTGACAAAGGAGTCAGCCGAACACTAAAAACGCAGCCTGGAAACATCTGATTACAGAATATCAACCTAAACAAGAATTTACTTAAAAAAATTAAAATATATAAAATTTTACGTCCGTTTCGCTTCATAAATAAAAACAGTATCTACTAAACTAAAAACAGTACTACTAAAAATAGTTTCATATATTTAAAATTTTTTGGCCTTTTTTTTTTTTTTTTCCCCTCTGAATAGAAAATTTTATACAGAGTGGTCCCAAATTAAAAATATTTGCGGACCAAATTTACGATCTGAAAGCAGCTTATAGCCGGAATTTTTTATATTTTTGTAATGAAAAGGTTTTAAGCAAAGTAAAAAAAAAAAGTCTTTCCACTAAATTTTAAATTTCACTTACTGTTACTTACGACTTTCCTTGTTATCATTGTTTATGCATATCTGAATTATTTATTAATTTAAATATACCTAAACAATGATAACAAGGAAAGTTGCTCAGACGGTATAGTGGTTAGGAAAGCCTACTGCGGTACCGAAGGGCCTGGGTCCGAATCTCTGAGAAGACATGGATGTTTCTAAATGTAATGCAGTATGGCGACACCCCAAATATGCGGCGAGTCGTAAGTTCTCCTGTGCGGCTTG